TTTTTTAAAAAAAAATGAGGTAATTAACAAAAAGAAAAAAAAATACATGAGGTAATAACGACTTTTAGTGTTGCCTGTCGCATAGCTTATATACTACATCCAAACTACAGCAGATGAATGTGTTAATAAGATCCGATGCCCCAGGAAAAAAAATACCAGTATGGGGATAAAATAGCAGCTGCATGTTATTAAATATTCACCGAGATCCACTGAGTTTGTGTTTGAAAAATCAAATTAAAAAAAAAAAAAAGTCAGGAGCACTGCCCGTGTTCAGGTACTGGACTCTTTGGGAGGTAGGTCCTCGTTGGTGAGCGACGTGACGATGGAGACGGGACCGTCTGAGGTAGTGCTGCCGGTGGTCCTGGCGATCTGGCCGATGCGCTCCTCCACGCAGCCGGCCGACAGGCGGGCCTCGGCGTCGTGGTCCCAACATTCCTCGATGGTCTCGCTCAGTTGGCTCAGACCCTGTGACGGGAGGGCGGGTCGCACATGTTAAGAACGCGACCTTTTTAGCATAGTACATGTTCTTGTCAAAGACTCTGACTTGGTCGTGAGACGATGCTCATGTCCCTCATGCAAAAAAATTACTCACCGGATGTTTGAGCCAACAGTCTTTGATGACTGGCCGCATTTTCTTGTGCACAACCACATCCTGCAGATCCTCCAGGCTTGGATGCTGCCCTATTTCGTCCTCAAACGGCAGAAGGTATTCACCCACCGTACCTGGGAAGGACATTACGGCAGAAAAATCGGCTCCCGTTTCTTGTTCAGCAACTGCGACAAACACAAGCTGCCTTCCAGGTGGACCCACCATCCGTTTCGTTGCAACGGGACACCAGTTCCCAAAGCACCAGACCCATGGCGTACATGTCGATCCTCAGGAAGGAGTCTCGCTGGAAGTTGATGGCTCCTTCCAACACCTCAGGTGCCATGTAGCGTCGCGTACCCACCTGATGGGACCACAACGACTTATGAGTTAGGCACAGATGTAATGTGGACGCTTTACGACGAAAGGCTAGTTGACGGTAATCTCCCGGAGGTTTTCCTATCAGTAATATTCCAGATAATATTTTTTCTTTAGGCTACGCCAACGGCCCTCAAAAAGCAGCCCACAGTCTGCATTTGTCGCAGCGGTTGCCTATTTGTTCTGGCCTTTCCTGAGAGCAGACGAGATTGGGTATCGTCAGAGTAGGACAGCCGTCAGCCACACAGTGCCTTGCACGTGGTATTTCGTGGTGGAATAACCCATTCATTGTGTATTTTGAGGCTGGCGGCACACAAGGTGGGCGGGCGGTCTGCCACGTGGCAGATGCACCCGAATTGAAAAATGTTTCTTTCACTGCGAGTTTCGGTTGGGTCAGCATGTGTATATTGAGACTTGTCTCCATGCCAAATGATACGCCCACAGCCTGTTACTGGGTCACTGAGTTCACTGTTGCGAGAGCAATTTTTTAACTTTGGCTGAATCGTTGCTAGCTGATGGAGCCTAGAATGCACAAAAATGGTGTCTTCCGAGTTCACTGGAGTAAAAACAAAAAGCGGAAAGTGAAAACCGGCAATTCAAAGATTACCGGTAGCCTGAAATATTTGCTTTCGTTCTCCCATGTGCTTCATGTGATTGATTTCCAAAAACATAAAAGAAAGAAGACTTGAGCAATCATGATGTTATTAGGCTACTGATCCATAAATGTAATTCATCGCAATGCTGACTGGAGGTCTTTTGTTGTTACCTGCCCATGAGTGTCTCCTGGAGGTTTCCCTGGTTCAAAGCGTACAGCAAGTCCAAAGTCTCCGATGACTGCGGTCAGGTCACTTCGTAGCATAACATTCTTACTCTTGAAATCCCTGATGAGAAAGAAACATTCATTAGCCATTAGCCAACCCGTTACAAGGCATCTTCTAAGCCGTCCGGGATTATTATTAATTTTTTTTTTTGCACCTACCTGTGCGCGATGGTGGGTTTGGGCTCTTCTCCCTTGTTGCTAGGAATGTCCTCGTGGAGGTAGGCTAAGCCGCGGGACATAGTCTCGGCGATGAGGCACAGCTCCCCCCAAGTCACAGTGTTGCCCTTGAGGTGGTCAGTCAGAGAACCCTGAAACAAAACACCAAGAGTGTGAGAGATGTGACAAGACTTTTTGTTTTATCAGAAAAAAATATCCATGGTTTCCTGTGTAGGGCTGGTTGATCCAGATTTTTTTTTTCCAAAGCTAAAATGGCAACACATAGTCAAATAACCTAACAATATTTAGTTATAATTGTTAGGTTACGCAAAGCAGATGCTAGTGCAAACATCCTGAAGCTAAAAGCATTAAGGCTAACAGCTTGCATGACCCATGACAAAGTCTCAAGGAACCAATTTTTCAAAAGTCAGCCACTTTAGTTTGTAGCAGCCAATTGGGTTCCATTATCAAAGTTTGATGCCCCCCCCCCCGCCCCTTGAATGATTAGCCACGCTTTAGCTTTAGATGTACACTAAATAGCTCATCGGTAATTAAAGATCAGTTTCGTGTCTCAATAAAAGGCAAGACAACAATCTGTAATATATTCTCACTGCCATCTAATCAAACGGCGGTCTTAATAAAAGCAGCGATGCCCTTTTGTGAAGGTAAAAGGCCCTGGCCAATATTGGAAAACACACAGAAGGTTGGGTCGGGCCACCCCATAGGGCACCCGTAGCTGACATTAAAAAAAAATTCTCACTCTCTCGTGGAACTCTGTGATGAGCCACAGTTCCGTCTCCAAGTTGCTGCCGTGCTTCTCAGCGGCGATATATCGGAGGATATTCTCGTGGCGCATGCCCGGTGTCAGGAAGATGTCCCGCTCGTTTTGCCATGACTGCTTATCCTGCGGAATGGCAATGAAGGGATGTCAACTTTTAGTGCCTTTCTCGGGGTGAAAATCTGAGTGGAAGGCGCTAGAGCAGTGACCCACCTGTACAGGGAAGATCTTGACTGCGACATATTCGCTCATGAGCTGGGCTTTCCAAACACAACCAAAGCGTCCCCTGGCTTTGATTTCCAGCAGCTGCAGGGGCTTCAGGCCCACCAGGGGTGATGGGGGGGTGGGTCCAGGGTCCTGACCCACAAACAAATAGATTTTTTTTTTTAATTCATGCATATTGTACTGAGCGCATCAGAGGATATTTTCTTTCTTTTGCCATACTACTCTTCTCCTGACTCGCGCTCAGTTCGAGCGGGTGTGGGGAAAATAATCACAGCTAAGTTCCGCAAACTAGCTACGGTAAAATTCACAGTGAAGTAAACCGCCAAAAGAACAGTGATATAGCGAGGGAGGAACTTACTAGATGCGCTCGGGTCGTGCTTTTAAAGGGCACGCGGCTTCTGAATGGTGTGTTGAATCCACGCTCTGAGCGATTGACCCAATTGATGAACACAAAAATTTTACCGTGACCACAAAATAAAACGTGCAATGCTTTAGGCGCATGTATCTGCATTTTTTTCCCTGTAGTTCCACTTCTTGTTGTTATACGGTGATAATACAGATAACGGTGATCATTTTTGGTCAGCGTAATTTTTGAAATGACATTTTAATATGGTTCCATCACTATTCTGTACACATCTCTACCGTATGCGCTCTCATTGCCACACAGACAATTCATTTCCACGTTGCCGTAGATTATAATTGAATGCACTCAGCCCTTCTAATTTCCTAGAATGCCTGCGAGGTGGAAATGAGTAACAATGTGGCTTTCATTCCCTGCATACGTCTCTCTCTCTCTAGCCACAGAGCGCGCCACCGGAAATATCATGGAATTCATCAACCGTCTCACCTCGCTCAGGTCCACATGGCCGTAAGGAGGTTTGCGGTGACGGTACATCCACAGGGCCAAGATGATTGCCAAAGAGAGCACGCAGAGCGGCAGCAGGGAGTAGACGAGCACATTCAGCATGGACGGCACTCGGGGCGGGGGCCGGATTTTGACTGCGCGTGAAGAAACGTGATTGATGATTATGAACACTTCAAAATGACGGAACTCGTCGGCGTCGCGTGAGGGATGAAATGCTTGACTGCAACCAAGTGACAGAAGGCTAACGCTAACCTTCTAGATTACAGTTAATGCTAGGAGTGGTACTTGTCTTGAGGCTTCTCCCACCCTGTGTACAAGCCAACATTGAATTCCCATATTTTCTTATTATTACACATATGGTATTTTTGTCTAATGTATTTCAATGTTGTTGTGTGTTTTTTGGTGGGTATGGTGAACTTGAGCTGTGTGACCTCCTCCTTTGCAAATATCCCAGCTAGTACAACCAAGCAGTCAATATATGTCCATATTTGTTTTTATGGCGAAATTTGGGGGACCCCTCGCTGTGTACCTAATATTTTGACTGGTACCTTTTGTGAATTCCTGGCATACATTTCTGTTTTTCATTGTTCAATATTGATCACGATGAACATTTTGCTCACTCTGCCTGTGATGTGAAAACTTTGATGTATGTCCTTTTTTTTTTTTAAATATGTGGCACGTTTATTTATATTTACATTTATATTCAACTGCAACACATCCTCCGTGTGTCCTTCGCGCTAATGTGAGAGCTATTTTTCCACTGGGTTCCCCCCCTCACCTCGGTTGCCGATGCCGATCAAGTCGGGGAGGTGGGTGAAGCGCTCGTTGCAGTAGTTGCCCTCGCAGCAGCAGAAGAAGACCTGAGGGTTCTCGTCCATGGAGACGCACTCTTGCCTGAAGCCACGGGATGACACACACACACACACACACACACACACACACACACACACACACACACACACACACACACACACACACACACACACACACACACACACACACACCTGTCTTAGGTTCAGAGGAGTATCACAGCTATTTTTAATGGCGACGAATACACGCTGGAGAAAGACAAGAAATAGATTTGCTGCAAATCCGCTGATTTCGAGTTTTGCTATCTGCATATCCCATATTGCAGGACCAGGGAAGCCATGAAATCCAGAGAAACGTTCTTCATTCTGCGCAAAACGAGCCGGTGTAGCATAAACACTATTTTTTTTTTCAGCTGCCAGATGCAATTATCACCAAGATAATGTGCCTTATTAACCAGTGCGCCCTATGTATGAAAATGTTTGAAAATAGACCCAGTCATTGATATTACGCTGAATGTTCCGTATAATATGGTATCGCTCATGCCTTAAAAATGTGCACAATTCAGTTCCTTTGAACTCTACATTAATAGCAAATGCTGAACAATGAAGCACAACTTGATATCTGCTGAAGATAGATGGGCTGTCAACACCCGCACGAAACATCGGTTACAAATTCTGTGACACTTGTGCCTCAAAACCTGCAAAATAGGATAGCTGCAAGCGACTGAGCAGTACTGGACATGCACGTGCAGTAAATTTCGGCGTGCGTAAATATCCACCCGTGTCTAATTGAGACCTGACCCTGATATTTTCAAAACCAGATTATGAAAACAGCTTTCATGTCGCCTCAGCATGTGCTCCCGCTGCGGCGGCGTACATTATGCAACGGTGAATTATTTAAAGCTGTGGCGTATTCTATGTACACAGTGTCCTTACATTGCTGCGTGCATCGTGGGTATTTACTTTGGACACTTGCCAAATGACAAAAATGCAAATCACATGAATGCACAGTCATGCGCTCCAACTCCAACCCACTAGGTGACGGTGACATGCATTTAAAAGGAGTTCAACGCACGGCCGGCCGATTCCAAAGCCATCTTTTTTTTCGTGGATTCTACCATCTTGCCGTTCTGTGTGTAAGGTACCCCTGCACAATGAAGTGGGTTGAAGTCAACCTGGAATTAATGTGGAAGGGGATGGATAGAAGTTTTGACCGGAGTTTGAATTGGAACGCCAAAGACGGCCAGTAGCCATTTGCGCTGAAAGCAATTGTTGCTGCTGTGGTGACATTCAACACACGGGACAGGCCCCAACAGCTGTGTTCTGTGTGAAAGGGACATGAGCGTAAATGCGGGCTCGACCATCGTATTGCTGATGTGCCAATTTGCCGGTAATGTAGTACGAAAGCACCTGAAGATGTAAGGTTGGAGCTGGGACTTGTCATGCAACAACTTGGCATCGTGCAATCAGATAATCAGATAAGTGCCTTGTCTGATGTGACGACATAACAGGGCAGGAGAGTTGAGTCTCAGGCCACTTCCCTTCCAGTGACTGGGGAAAACGTCATATTTGATGAGCGTCGTGAACGGACGGGGGTTTATGATCGGCTGCCATTTGCCAAATTTGGCAGGAAGGCCCAGAATCGGCGGGCCTTTAAAATTAGGGGGGGCCTGGTGTCAAACTTCACACCTCAGCCCCAGCTTACTGATATTACTTTTCAAACAGCTGCAAGTGCCACAGCTGTTATCTCACCAGCGCTACCGTGGAAGGTGAAAAACTCGCAGGTCGACCTCAATTGCCCGTCAGCGTGTATTACAGAGAGCAACGACACCGGGGGATAATGTGGCTTTGATGAGGAGTGTGAAAGGTTTATGGTTGACCGGCAGTTGCCAATTTTGGCAGAAAGACCCAGAAACTGCTGGCCTTCTTGCCCTTCAAAATCAATGTGCATAGCAAAGCCTCTGGGGAGACGTGAGCGTCAGGTGGTAAAAGTTCACACCTCACACGGTGACCGTCCGCCGGCTCACCTGTCATAGCAGTTGAAATCGTCCAGCCAGCAGCCTTTCTTTACCAACTTGATGGTCCCTGAGGAGTTGAGCCAGGACGCGTAGCAGTGCAGCCGCTTGTCCTTGTCTTTGTCCTTGTCGTCGCAGCGCTCAAAGCCGCTCTGGTTGGTCTTCTCGGCGCGCCAGTTGTCATTGTAGAACACGCATTCACGCGTCTCCGCCTCGCCGACGCTGTACCCTGCGAGATACAAGACCAGACAGTAATCAACCCGACAAAGCATAAGGAAGGACGGGTGGACGGCCGCCGTCGGGAACATCCAAGAGTTATCGCTTTGGAGCGCCGCCAAATTTCGGGAGTTCCTCGGGGGGGGGGGGCTCGGGAAGTTGCTGCCTAATAATCCACCGCGCTTAAAAGATCTCTTTAGACTTTTAATTAGCCGTGGAACAAAACATAACAGCAACATGCCAGACGCTTCTCGAGATATACACGGACCAAGGGATTACCCCCCCCCACCCCCTCAAGTACACACTTCACTGTACATCCTGTGTGTACTGTACATCTACCCCGGGGCTTGGACTGTCAGTTACCAGTAGACACAACATAGCATAGCAAATTCATTTTGAACAATTTTTAACACTTTCGAACAACTGAACACAGAAAACGTTTGACTTTTTTTTTTTTTACACTCTATCAATATTTCTAATTATTTCCAGAACTGAAGAAAAGTCTTAGGACGCCAAATTATTTGTTGTTTTATTACCAGCATTTAAGACGTGAGGGTGTATAAAATTTCACAGGAATTTAAATGAAGGATGAAAGCCTCGGGATTTGTTCGGGTATTGTAACCTCCAGTCGGTGACTAGATGGACCGTTGTATTGTACTAAATAAAACAGCAAAGTGATTTCATCCCTATCATTCTTCTTGTTTTATGTCAGTTTTCATAGATTGAAAGAGAGCCCACATTATTTCGATGTGTAGATATGATGTTTTTTTTTTTTTTTTTGGTTTGCGTTTGAAATGTCCAACTGTATTTGATTGCACCTTGTGTCTTGCCGAACAGGAGCGATGTCAATGTTTAATGTCATGCTCCTGTTATGATCCCATCAGTTTGAACCACAAAAGGTAAGAGAGGACATCGGAAGGCGGGGGAGAGGGAAGGGAGAAATGACATGACGTAAAGATGACATTAGCTCACTGATTCATCTCACAAAGGAACCATCTGTGTGGTTGAATTATTACCGTCATGACAAACGTCCACTTTCATGTTTCGAGTGGGATCAACTTACCGTTGAACAGAGTCAACACTTTGTCTTTACCCCTTTTCTGATGTGAGGTCTAGACGTAAAGATATCCAAATTGCGTTTCTACTATTTGCAGCATTGCTTCTTGCAAGAATGTCTTCCATATAAAAGTAAAATTGGTACAGCGTGAAATCCTTTCATAACTGAAACGAAAATCAATCAAAGTGAATTGTGAATCGTAAATTGAATCAAATTGGGGCCTGGTGAATCAAATTGATGTTGGGGATCTGAATCAATACCCAGTCCTAAAGAGTATAGTATGGATTGGTGTGTAACAAAATAAAGAGACCAATGTTACTGGTTTGCTTGTGCAAATGCTGTAAAAGGTTAGAGTACATAAAGGTAAAAACTATCAGCAAATATTGGCAATTTGGACGATTATTTTGGCTGGCGTTTGAAGGGGCACAAGTAGCATGCCAGGGTGTGACGTTTTTAAAGACGAGACACTAACTTCTCCCATCCTGGTGCACTTAAATTGACGTGTTCCGACAGGTATTTTATACATCAGACAACACGCTCTCATTTTCAGCATTCACAGACAACTGGCTCAGCTGTCGTTGAAAAACAATGGGGAATGTTGACTCTTTTCATCTCTAATCGTAATACACACTTATCTAGTTTAAAAACACTGAATTGATATTGGTACAACATTATTTCCACACAAAGAGGAGCATGTAAAATCATGTCACGTCAGAATAGCTTTGTTATCAGGTTAAAAAAAATGGAAAAAAAATAGAACCTGCCTCTTTAAATACTTTCCTGACGGACAGTGCCCCTCCCCCAATGTAGCCCCCACTACACACGCGCGCACGCACACACACACACACACACGCACGCACGCACGCACGCACGCACGCACGCACACACACACGCACGCGCGCCCTTAGATGTCCGGCAGCAAACAATGGAATTCAATACCCGATGCATAATATTACATTTAAAGAAGGAAAGTAAATAAAAAACAAAAACCGCGATGCTCCATCCAGCCCATATTGGTGATCACGTGATGCAGGAGGACTTTTACTACGATGTCCCCCCCCACCCCCCCCTTCCCTCCTCCTTCTGTCACTTAGGGAGGCTTTAACCCACCACAACATGGATTCTGGAGGAAGCGGCTTACTACAACAATCTACAAAACCATATAAGATGGAAAATGGCCGTGTGGCACACAGACACATACAAACACAGACAGACGCATTCATTTGGGGGGTGGCAGCTGTGTAGACATTTTATTGTCATTCTAAACTGCATGAGAGGGGAGAAGGGTGGGAGGGGGCTTGTGGAGAGGCCGTATGGTCCAAAATAATAAAGAAGGTCAGAGAGCAAGCCCACGTTGTGGAGTCACATTATTGAAAGCGGTGGGGGAGGAAAAACTCAGCCCCCTTGTGCAATTTCACTTGGTTGTCAATCTATTATCTGTTCCAATTTATCGCTCTGGCGTTTCAAATGTTTCGCTTTTAACGTTGCTTCTCTCTCCCTTTTTCTGTTGTTGGGTAAGAGTGTTATGGAGAATCTAAGGTTTCAGGATGTTGCTGCAGCAGCTGCTACTGCTGCTGCTTTCTATTCCTGCCCTGCGCTACGCTCACAAAAGGCTTCAAACGCAACAGTTTTAGCACGTAGCACCTTTTGTGGCAAACCACACTTTCGAATATTTCTTTTTAATAAATTACCAACCTGAACATTTCACTCGCATATAAATGAGTAATACACGCGGGCGGCGGAATACACTTTTGAAAAATAAATGTGTGGATAAAAGTTTAAATAAACACTCGAAGAGGTGACAATGCCTACGGTGGAAGCTAACCCCTAGCGGCCGCTTACCTGCGCATAAAGTTCCCAGCAGAAGTGAACAAGTCAGCCACGAGAAAGACATGTTCCGTCTTCAAAAACACCACCACGGAGGTCCACCGTTTTGGTTCGGTCCCGCACATCCACCCCTCAGCCCCGGCGGAGTCTAACCGACCGCAGGCCCCCCTCTAAGCTAAAGCCTTCCGCGGCTCGTAAGCGCCGCCGCCGCCGCCGTCGCCACACCACCAATCACCACCACCACCACCACCACCGAGAAGAAAAGACAAGGGGGCAGATTAGTCGAGCCGCCGTGTTTGCTCGTTCAGTCCCACATGGCTTCAGAAAAAAAGAACGCTGAAGGAGAAAGGAGCGTTTATCGTTCCCTCTGGCGGTGCACAAGCGTGAAGAGTGGTTGTGGTTGGAAGCGCAGCGTCGCGAGGTCGCCCGGGGTTTACGTGCATGTTAGTGTGATGTGTGTCCAAAATGGCTTCGAAACTGGGAGCGGGGGGGGGCTGCGAGCTGGGAAAACCCGGATGTGTAAACACAAAGGGGGGAAATCAGGCAGCCCCAGCCGAGGTGACCTCAACGCAACTCCACTAAATTCGCCTAAAACGCTGTCGTTTCACACCTAAATAAAATACTTGCATTTTATTCGAAGGCGGACTATATATTCCGGCGACGACCAAGGGAAATTTGGTTGTGGAAGCCCCCCCGAGGATGAACGTGTTTATTAAGCATCTCGCTCGTTGTCCTCGGATTACTGGGGCTACAATTGCGAACTTCCTTTTGCGTTTCCATCGTTCTTTATTTATTAAAATTCGCATCGTCAACATTATTAAAATATTTGTTCAACATAGGCGAAAATATAAATCTATAATATCATGGAAAAAAATATAAATGATTCGTTTATCTGCACAATATTAATCAAAGACAATATTTTTCTGTTTTATATGTTTAATATATTGATGGTGTCTCTTGAAAAAACAAAACAATACATCACTATCGATATTCCCCCAATCACGGCGTTTCTCATCATTTATAATGATATTTTGCCAATACGATATGTATAAAACGTGATAATCAGCGGCGTGCCACGAGGTTCATGACTGGTGAGGGACTGACTCTCCTGTAGTCAAACATAAAAATAAGAATCTAAAATAGATCATTAGCCCGTATTTCAAATTTGACCTGAATCGAAACAGGCACATACAAACAGAGGCAACTCATGCAGCAAATGAGCCAGGAATCAGGTTATCTGTAGGTAATCTCTCTGAAAACTATTGATGTAACTCAAGACAAAAATGGCTTCCTCATGAGCCACCTTGTAACTCAATGAGATGAGGAGAGCTCATTAAAGGTTCAAAGTGCAATAAGGGTGGAATTAGAGCTGCCGGGGCCTGCGTGGATGTTGGAACATTATGAGAAAAACTACGAGGAGGGGAAATTGACCTACATGCTAACATGCTATCGCTCATGTAGCTGTACATGAATTAGTCCGATCAATCGGACAGACGAGCCGGGAAGAAGATCCAGTGCAAGAAGCATATCAAACAAAGAGGAAGTAGAAATATTTTGGACAAATAAGGCCATGCTTTCCGATCTCCTCAGTTATTGCAGATGTCTACTCAGGATGACGTCCACCGCAATAGATAAAAGGTGCTATTTGTTTATATGTAGCAAATAAGGCAATGAAAGTAATCAAATGAAGGCACAGTATGTGCTCTATACATCTCTCATTGTATTGAGCCTGCGGGTCTAAATAATGTTTTACAGAGCGACACCAGGTGGTAGCAGAGGTCTTGAGAGAAGGTAAAGCTCCCTCCCATCTGTGTTGTATAAATACATGCAACATTTCTGCAGTCTTTTGTTCTATGGAGGCCACGCCGCGTCTATGGCACAACGGCAGGGGCTCTATGCTACCTTTCCAGGTTTCTTTTTTTTTCCATTCTCGTGTTCTACGGGTGAACATTATGGCTGTCGATATGTGACTATTCATCTCCAGCTTAGTGGCGGATCCAGTAGTGTACAGATCATGAAGACCCGAAGCTTTACATGACACTGTCTCAGTTATCTGTCTTAGTATTCCAGTTCAACAGGTGTGCCAATGGAAAGTATCCAGGTTCCCTTTGTTTTATTGCATTTCATTCATCGAGTTTGTTTATTTGGGTAAATTGAGAAGAGACCATCATTCTGTCAGCAAAAGTGGTGGTCATTCATAAACTGACCAGAATACAAACTTGAAAATAATCTGTCTTTTAGTACAGTAAAGGATGTTTAGTTCTTCTCACTGTCAATCAAGACTTACTTTCACACAATAGCAAGCCAACAACATGACGGGGAAGTCATTATTTATCATACCATCCACAGTCAGTTTCCTGACATAAAATGTACACCGTCTTGCTCAACGAATCCACAATTGAAGCAGGAACAAACCTAAGTGAAGTGCAATGTTTGGAATTGTGAAGAATTAAGAATTTTTTGAGTCATTGAGCTTTGATGATTTGGATGAATGAGCCACCATTCGCATTATGCAAAATGGGATCGACCGTCTGTGGAAATTGTGAAGTCTGATTGACTGTTAGCAAGCAGTCAGTGCGTGACATAGAAGCAGACTATGAGCTTGGACAAAAAAAAAAAAAAAAAAAAAAAAAAAGCAAAGACATTGGCATCGTCTAATAAATTATGCTTAGCAAAGCGTTTACATTTAGTTCACCTCTGCAACATTGCTTGGACTTCGTCTCTCTGGATTGGCAGATTGGGGTGATGGTCTCCCTTTTTAAGGAGGGGAAGTCGAATGTCAGATCCAGGAGGGGCAGTGTGATTTTCGCCCTGGCTGTGGAACAGTGGAGCGGCCTCGCCAGGGTCTTTTGTTGTGTCTTTGATGTAGTGGTGAAACCCGGATGGTTCTGCTGCCTTACATTCCACCCCCCACCCCTATCTTGCATTAACGCAGGAAGCATTATTGGTGTTAGCTGGTGAGAGGATTTGCTAGGCTCGTGGGGCCAGCTCATCAGCAAGCTTTGCAGAAGCCCGATTACGATCATCATCATTTGAATCAGGTCTGTTGGAGGAGGGAGACATGTAAAACAGGCTGGACGGGGGCTCTCGAGGACCGGACTTGATCCCTGTTCTTAAAATAGCTCATCAATGATGGGGCATTGTAATTTCATTTCCTTGGAATGCTGTCGAAAGTGATCATTTCAAAATGCAAAACACTTGCAGAGATTTATAGGAACGAACAGTTTCATAGTGAGACTTATCTGTTTCCCACGTTGTTTAATCATTGTTGACCATTTTTAGTAATTATTATTTTTGTTTAATTTCTGCATGAAAACATGAACGTGATAATGTCATCACATGGATTCATATAGGTACTGTACTTAGTTTTTATTAATAACTTACAATTGTAGAAAATGGAAGCACATTTTTAACGTTAGAAGAGTGTAGATCAGACTGGTAGCCCTTTCACGTTAATCAGTAGCCAAGAAGTAGTTCTCACTTTCCAAAAGGTCGGTGACTCCTGCTGCAGACAATGACAAAAAGCAGCGTTTACCCAAACATCTCCATCCACAGGCCAGAAAAAGCAACTTCGGTCTCTTATGGTAGATGGCAGAGTTGGGGCCCGAGCGACAGTTATATTTCATTTCTCTTCCTGTAAAGCTTTCAATGGTTATGGGAAACACTTTGAATTGTCTTGTACATGAAATGTGCTCCACAAATAAACTTGCCTTGCCTAATTCACATAATGCAGGGAAAAGCGACCCCTGTGTTTTGCTCTAGTCAACACCGGGCCATCATCTGAACATCCTGTGGCCAGTAAAGTCACACCTTGAAAACAAATGTATGTGACTGTAAGAACACAGTTGGGCCATGGCCTTGGCTGAAAAAGTGTGAAAAATGTAAAGCTTCCAAAAACACATCCAGGTGCGACCCACAAAAAAAATAAATAAATAAAAAGCACATTCACAGGGATTGATATTCTTCAAATTTGTATGGTTAGCTGGGAGTTCAAATGAGTTTCTAATTATTTGTCATAAATTTTATTGAAGAAGGTGTAAACCTCCTCAGTGAGAAAAAAAAACTGCCCTAAGGGTTGATCTTTGGCAACTTCCTGTGGCTGTACTGAAGGGTGTGTGCTCGTGTGCGTTACGCCAGTGTTGTGGGTGGAGTAGGCAGGATTGGACAAATAAAGGTGAGTTTGTTACTCATGTCCAGCCAGGAAATGATTCACATGTTACGATTTTATTTGTCACGTGTCATGATAAAAGATCATATACACGTTTGTACACATTGTATTCGACCTGGAGGAATAAAATCGTTGCATAATTCTCTTTAATGGCATGCAATTTTTCATTGCAAGGTTAAAGGGATGTCAGCACTCCATATTGGCACACCGGTCTTTATTGTTTAGCTGAACATGTGTTCGTAAGAGTGAAATTGCAACAGTGCTAGCTGAAGAATATAGGTAGAGAAGTGTGGAGGATTTCGGGAGGTGCTGGGAGTGGCAGGGTGACGTGTCAGACTCTGGTCATGAATTTATCCTTCATTCCTTTCAAGCATGTTGGGACTCATTCCTGGCCTCCCATCCCAATGCACTTCTTCTCTGGAAAACATTTCTCTTTTGCTCGGATATCCTTAAGTCAGGCAAAAAAAAAAAAAAGCTACAAAAGTACATGATGTCTCGTTTTACTGCACCAAACTCATCCAAACATGCCACAGTTTGTTCACCGAGACACATTTGGGATGGGACTGAAAAGCGGCTCGATCAAACTTTTCCCCACAAATATTGAATGTCGAATTGTCTGAACATAATAATGCGGCCACTATTTTCATTTTGATATTTTTGTGCATGGAATGATTCTGTCATCATGTCTCTCGCACATTCTCAGATCCCACATGTTCATACGTGGGAGTGAAAGTAAAGATGTGATTTATCGCACTTACCTGAGATTCTGCTGAGGAGCACGGCAGGAATTCCAGGATTCCACGTTAACCTCAGAACACGATGAGTTTACCTTGAAGACATGTATGTGCAGATCTATCTCATTACAGATGCATGAACTAAATCTGCTGAATGTGATTCATGCAGTCAGTCACCTTTAGAGAACAGACATCGTCAGAGCACCTGCGGGACAGTGAAGCAAGTCATCATTTAAAAAAAAAATGAACATTCATTTTATTGGGGCATGTAGCGACTGGTTGACTTAAGAAGCATCTATAGTCGGCCTAAAACCAGTCAATACTGTGGTGAATTGACCTACGAGTGACCAGACTGCCATCCGGCTGAGAAACAAACAACTACATAGCTAAGCCTTTCAGCTCGCTAGCTTAATGCTAATGTTAAAGAGTCCTGTAAAGGCGATTTGATATGTACAGTAAAGATTTTAAAGTGGAACGAGCAGGGTCCATTTGCCAAAAACAAAATACTTTGAAAGTACAAAGTACATTGAGCACATAATGGAAAGCAGGAGTGTTTTGTTACAGTGTGTCACAAGTTCGCTCATTTCTGGAATGCAAGCATGTGTGCGACAGAGGATGACTTTGTAAACTGAAATCACCGAACTGGTGTAAAGAGGCAGAGGGAGACCACTTACAGGGTGGAAAATCTTGTTTTGTTTTGTGTGGTTTTTTTTTTTTTTTTTTTAACTCTTTTATTGCCTGGAATGCTTTTTTCCTCACTGGCGCAGTGATGAGTTGGATCACAGCTTAGTTCACAAGCACTTTTCTTTGTATTCAGTGTGTCTCTATTTTTTTTTAATTCACAACAAGCTGGCACCAAAAATCAAGTGTGCCTCTTTTTTGAGATGTTACTTATGAGGGCAATGGCTAAATTATGACACAATAAACACAAAGTGACCAAAATGCAAAAATTAATTGACCTTTCTCATTGTGTTTCGACCCAGGCAGAACCGGTTATTCCGCTGAAAGAAGACACCTTATAACTGTTTGAGTATACAGTACATGCGAGGTGTTTTTTTTTTTTTTTTGGTTTTGTTTTGGCTTTTTTGTTACGTAACATTTGATTTGTTAAGAGAAGAAAATCAAAACCATAAAACTTCTTATTTTGTGTGTAAACAGGAAACAATGAGCAGCAAATACAAAATGAGAACACTCGCAAGGAGCTGCTGCGGCACGCCCAGCTGCTTCCGCCCAGCCTGATTTATGCTCACCAGGCCACGCCCCCCCACGGGCACACATACAACAACAGGAGAGTTGCTGGTGTGTTTTTCAGCTTTTCCCAATGTGCGATGATTAATGGCAATTCCATTCTCAACAGGGAAAATTTGCTCTACGAATAAGGAGTAAAACAAACTTGGTTTTGATTCGGGAAAAAAACGGGTGTGTATTAGAGAGGATGGTAAAATGTTTACTAGCAAATGAGCGCTTTGAAGGGCAGAGGGAGTTATTTCACCCTCGCCCACTTTGAACACGGTTCTTTCAACGTGATAAGGCTGATTACTGTTTCTGACCTCTGGTGCTCTTCCCATGCTCGACTTAACTGGAATTAAAACACTGACCAACAAACACTTTTGTATGTTTCTCCCCATGTCAAATGTGATCAAAAGGAGATTCCAACCTGCAGTGGGCTCTAAAGCCGACATTGAAACAAGAGAATCTGCTTTCCAAGGAGATTCTCAAGGTCAACAGTTCCAAAGCATGACTCTAATAATGAGATACAGGAACAGCATTCTTCCCCAGTTTGCCCTCTCCCGTTTTCCACCATTATTTTTGCCTTTTGTACAGTATGTGGGCGGCTTCTTTCTCCCTCTCCCTTTCTGTCTGCCCTTTCTCTCCAGGCACACAAAGCCCACGTTGTTTGCTGACACGTTGTGTTGTGAGGAACAAGTGGTGAGTCTCATGAAATGCCAACGACACCATCAAAGAGTCAGGAAATCAGCAAAAAAAAAAAAAAAAATGCAAAACGCCATAGGCTGGCTAACGAAGAACATCCGTGTTGCGACATTATAACTAGAGTGGCAATGATTAATTGACAACAATGATCATTTTTGATAATCGATTCATTGTTTCAATACCTTTTTGAAATAAAAGTTATCCAAATCCTATTAAATGTGTCTACTTCCAGATTATTTATTTAGGCGGCATGGTGGTCAACTGGTTAGTACGTCGGCACCACAGTGCAGAGGTACAAGGTTCGATTCCGGCTCCGGCTTTCCTGTGTGGAGTTTGCATCTACTTCCTGGGTTCTCTCCGGGTGCTCCGGTTTCCTCCCACGTTCCAAAAAACATGCATGGCAGGTTATTGGAACCCTTTAAATTGTCCCGAGGTGTGACTGTGAGTGTGAATGGTTGTTCGTCCATGTGTGTCCTGTAATTACCAGTTCAGGGTCTACTCCGCCTACTGCCTGTTGATGGCTGGGATAGGCTCCAGCATGCCTGCGACCCTCGTGAGGATAAGCTCATTAAAAAAATGGATGGATGGATGGATTTTTAATTTTTTTTTGTATTAAAGTTTCTGTACTTCTATTCAAGTACAGGATGAAAAGGACATTTACCACCTCTGCATACATTGAAAAAAAAGTACTTGATTTTCGATTGGACATGTTTAAAATGCGTTACACTCACCCATCATTTGTTTATTTTGGAGGAAAGCACTGGAAAATGACATCGGCTTACCACATCTTAATTATGTGCATGACAAACATGTTCGAAATAAGAAAATCAATTTTTTTTTTTTGTGTATTTACAGCCATGAACAAGTTCACACCTACGAACGACAGGATTCTCCTCATTAATTCTTCTAATTCCTTTCCCCTCCTCTTTCATCTATAACTGCTTCAAACAACAAAGGGTATGCAGAAAAGTGGTTAAGATCTATCTTAAGTGTTGTGTTGTATTATTTTGTTGTTGTTATTACTTCAAGATGGCGCCGCGAGAGTGGCTACCTTTACAGCAGTTCCTCTCATCTACATTTTGTTCTTCTACTTTCTTCCTTTCATAACTTTGCGGCTGTAAATTGGGAATTTCTCCATTGTGAGACGAATAAAGGTTTTCTTATTCTTATTGGACAGTTATTAAACAGACCGATGATGTTAATTTTGAAATATATTTGAAATCAAGTTGCGATTCCAGGCTGCGTGGGATGAGTGGGTTATGGTGTGCGCGCGTGCGTATGTGTCAGTGCAGTCGAGGGAGGGGCAATCCCAAGTGAAAAGTGGACACCGCGCAACCCCTCCTTACATTTTCTCGGTGTCAACTGCGCTCCTCGCAGCGAGGATTCGCAACTTTTCAGGAGAGTCCGAACGAGGTGACATATGGAGGGGCAAACGTCAAGTGTACCGTTGCGGCTGCTGCTCGCCTTCTTGCTGGGATGCGCCCGACCGTCTTCAGCCTTCAACCTGGACACCGAGGACGTCGTGCGCAAAAACGGAGATCCAAAAAGCCTCTTTGGCTTCTCCCTTGCCATGCACCGGCAGCTTGAACCCGTGGATAAAAGAATGTGAGAGCCATTTTTTTTTCCCTCGAGACTTTTATTCTCACGTTGTAAAGTTACTTTTTTTGGGGGGGGGGGTAATAATTACGCACACGTAAATGTTTACGACCTTGTTTTTGGGTTCACATGTATAGATATGAGTTGCTTTTCCCACGCCAGTGGGTCTGCGCTATTCAACCTTTGTTAATGTTTAAGAAATCTTGACTTATCTGTTTAAAGTTTAATAATTAGTGAGCCGTTGGGCCCCGACTTGCGCGTTTTCCAAGCGCGCTCACGTTGCGCCGCAGGTGATAGGGAACCGAAAACATTTTGAGGAGGAAAATAAATAGTCATGTAAAGTCAGGTGGAAAAAAGAATACTGTTTAAGATTAAGAACACATCCTATCAATGGTTCCCATGTACATATATGCTAGTTGAAAAAGCTTTGTTTCATAACAACTAGCAATCCGGTTTTTCATTTTGTAATTAGGAATACTTCATGCTTTGAATGAAGGATTTGTTTAAAACAGTGGTTGGTAAATTTTAACACCAAGTACCACCTCATAAACAGTGTCGCTGTTCTGAAGAGCCTCGAATCTTCAAGTCCCATCCGTTTGACCTAAAATACAGTGGCGCAATAGGCCGAAGCGTTCATCGAAAAACAAGATAGAGTTTCTATTCCTTAAAAGTATCTTTAAAATTATTGTAAGACAAAGTAACATAATTCACACTTCAAACATTAACACTGATTTTAAATAAAGGGAGAAAAAAAATGGTCTGATGTGGTCCATCAGTCGATACCGCTTATCCTAAATAGATTCTTGGATGGGCTAAAGCCTGATGATCCAAGTAAAACCTTTTGCAGAGTAAAATGTTAAATACAAGTTTTAGCTAAAAACATTCAAAAACAAAGATACTAACACTAATTGCATATGCATCGAACTTAAACGCTGATTACAATTCACTGCCTTGAGGCATTAATTATTACCCTCACCACTAGAGGGAGTTTATTTACCCCCAATTCATCTACGTCATCGGTTAATTCAAGGAAATTAATTCATCCATTCAATCCACTTTTTCAAGCCAGTGTTTACTAACCTTTCTCGGGGGAACATATTTTACATCCGAAAAGTGGATACAGAGATTAATTGTGTACCTTTGTGCCACCTAGTGGAAGGGATTGTAATTGTTCTACCTGTCACGATATGTCGTTGGCATCGGTAGAATAAATACTTTCGCACCAAGTCACAGCAAACAAATGCACCCTGGGCACCCTTGTTGGGAATCAGTCATCGAGAGAACTTTTTTTTTTTTCAGAGTCAATTCTATTGGTTGAATACAAATGCAAATACAAAAGAGATTTAGACGCATGTATGTGAAACACCAGATTCCAAACTTGGATATGTGTGTGCATGCTTATGCAACGCGACATTTTTTTGGCAAGATCTTCATAGAGCCCTCACCGAGGTGGAATGAGTTCTTTTCAAAAATGAATATGGGAGCTTATTGGTTTTTCATAACAAACGGTGAAACGTGTGTGTATGCGTGCGTGTCCATTTCTGCCCCTTCCTCATTTAAACTTTTGTCACAATCCTATCCCAGCCACGTGTGCAGCAAGTATTTGAGTCATATCTTATTCGGGTCTTCATGCCCTACAGCGACGTGTTGTGCATGTACTTGCAGGTGAGGGCAGGAGGAGATGTTACGGTTATGCGCTTGTGCGTGTGTTTGTGTTTGCATGAGTAGGCGTGTGCCATCACTGGCAAACCGAGAAGTCTGTTCGCGAAAGGGAGGGTAGAAAAACTCGGCCTGAGTTTGACCAATGCATGCTTGCATATTTTAGATGAAAGGGTGCATGCAGGTGTGCATTTTATGGACCCTTTATTAGGTACACTTGCGCAATCGAACGAGCGCCAAAACAACAGCACTGTGACTCTCATGATTTTTTGCTTTTCCTTAAACAACTCTTGTTGGTTCTCATCAAATTATCGCGCAATCTAACGAGCGCCAAAACAACAGCACTGACTCTCATGATTTTTTGCTTATCCTTAAACAACTCTTGTTGGTTCTCATCAAATTATTTAAGTGTGCCTAATGTTGTGGCATGCAAGCGAGGTACTGGGGCCTTGGTATTTGCTACACAACAAGGAGGAGTGTCAGGTTTTTGTTCTCTGGAGTTTCTCTTGCCTCAGGTTATGTAAGGTTATCCGACATCAAACACCTTTAAAAAAAAACAAAAAAAAACAGGTGAAGCTGAACAGAATCTCCACATAAATAATTCATTCGTCTGGACAGCAAGCAGAAGAAATTTTGAAGAGATTTGGGATGGGCTCTTGGCAGACATTTTGTGGAAAAATCGAGTAGTTGGGCAGCATATGATTGCACTGGCCGACCTCTCT